TTCATGGGAGATGGAGACAGAAGAGAAGATGCTGCTGCATGTGCACAAACAATGTTGAATGCAGTCTTCTTTCCATGTGCCATAACATACTATATGAAGCCCAGGGTTTTGTCGTGTTGAGCCTTGTAGTCAGAGTTTCCACTGTCCTTGTGGCTGAGAAAGCTTCAGATTTCCCAAGAAATGCCTGAGCACATCATGGCATATTCTCCATGTTGGTGCTAGGACAATATCACTTCAGTCAGTTGAAAAAGTCGTCACTGGACATCTGACAGAGAATAACAATGTTGCTGAAGTCCATTGGGTGCCACACGAATCAGCCATAAGAGGATAGGCATTGTTAGTAGTAATGTACATGGGGAATTTTTACACCATGCGTATTGGCTTAAGATCTCTTCAAAATCACTTAATAATAAGAAAAAAAAAAAGATATTCCATTTTGATGATGAGCTTCATGATGAACTTAATCAACAATCAGTGTTATTAAGAGAGAAGAAAGTGCATAATTGTCCCAGGAGAAACTCACGAGATTGCCACTTCTTGGTACAGTCATGTTGGGTTTGTGTGGCAAGGTTTTGGTAGTGGGGTGTCTTCTGTGAGAAGCTCCTAGAAGCTTCCCCTATATCCAACAGAGCCAATGCCAGCTGGCTCCAAGAGGCACCCACCACTGGCCAAGGCTGAGCCCATCAGTGATGGTGGTAGCACCTCGGTGATAATATATTGAAGAAGGGGGGGAAAAAAACACTGCACAACTGCAGCTGGAGACGGGAGTAAAAATATGTGAAAGGAACAACTCTGCAGACACCAAGGTTGTTGAAGAAGGAGGGAGAGGAGGTGCCTCAGATGCTGGAGCAGAGATTCCCCTGCAGCCCATGGTGAAAGCCATGGTGAGGAAGGCTGTGCCCCTGCACCCATGGAGGTCCATGGTGGAGCAGATCTCCACCTGAAGCCCATGAAGGACCCCATACCAAAGTAAATGGATGCCCAAAAGAGAGTAAAGTCAAGTGTGGGATGAAAGAAGGTGTGGAGGACACGTGTTTTTAAGATTTTGTTTTATTTCTCATTATCTTTCTCTGATTTGATTGGTGATAAATTAAATTAATTTTTCCCCAAATCGGTTCTGTTTTGCCCATGATAGTAATTGGTGAATAATCTCTCCCTGTCCTTATCTCAACCCACAAGTCTTTGGTTATATTTTCTCTCCTCTGTCCAGCTGAGGAGGGGTACTTTGATGGTACTGAGGATAGGTACTGAGGATAGGGTAGCTTTGATGGGCACCTGGCATCCTGCCAGGGTCAACCCACCACAAAAGTGCATAATTTTCCACAGCGATCTGTAAGGACCTTAAGTACAACAGAGTAACATCCCTTACACTTTTCAGAGCTGTGGGTCTCCCCCAGGAACTACCACATGGGGACACATGTCCCTCTGAAAGCCCTGAGCCATTGGCCTGTTCCTTTGGATCATGTCAGCGTCACCTATAATTGGCGGGTAGGGAAGAACCAGACAGTGTGGGACTTTGTAGATGTCTGCATCATTCACTATGAACTTTTTGTCTTTGTATCCTCAAAGATGGAGACTGCCATAATCATAGTGCTATGAAGACACATCTAGGCCCCTGTGGCTACCCAAAAATGAGGGAGTAGCCCTTCTGTTCCATCCAGCTGGTGTTTTACACCCTGAGATTGGCAGAATCCCATGAGAACATGATATCATCTCTAGGTGCTGCTGATGTGTGCCCCAAACCACTGACATATGCCAGGCTTGGTCCTGTGGTGATGACCACAACTGTTAGCTCACGACACCTGTCTCAGAATGAGGTTGTGACCAGTCACACACAAAGGAAGCTGCAGATCTGTTGGAAATCAGGTGGCAGGGAGCAATTTGCTAGAAAAAAACTCATTGATCCATGGCCCTATTCCCTGTCCATTTCTGTAAGGTCCCCAGGAAAGGAGGAAAGATCATTGGCCTCATGAATTATTCATGTAGGTTGGGCCCAATCCATAGATCACTCACTGGCTGTAAATGCATACTTGCAATTTTTCTAAATCATTGCTTTAGGCTTGAATCAGCAAATATATTGAGTGTGTCTCAAAACAGCTGCTTATAGCAAGTTAGGGAACCCTACAAAGTGTTTTGTTGGAACAGTATCTTGCCATCAAATGCAAAATTGGAAAGTTCCCATGTGTACAATCTTGAAGCTCATGCTAAAATTCCATGTAAGAAAAAGATAGACATCTGTTTATTTGTGGTGGCAAGCCTGTTAATTAATCACATTCATGAATTTTATAAAAACAAATTCTTCTGCTCGTGAAAGCTTTCTACAAACTCAGTTTGGTGTGATGTGGGAATTCAGTTTGAAAGGAATCTATTTTTTAACTAGTGATAACTATTATTTCACTAACATAATTCACAAAGGCAAAATACTCTTATTTCAGAAACTTTTAATGCTGCTTTCTGTGTCAGACAGAAAATAAATAAATAAATACATCTCATATTAAGACTCCTTCTTTGGATCCAGGTCAAATTGAGGGCTGTTGATTGTTTTCTTAAAGCTGTCCCCTGACAGGACATTTACTGCCTGATTGCTGTGTCTAACCATGGGTATATTTACAATCAAGCTTAGTATAAGGTGCACAATTTAGCCTCGAGTGAGTAATTTTCCTAGTAACACTCAAACACATCTTAGCACAGAGCTTCACTGACATCTTTGGATTGCCCTGCATTGTAACACTGGGTGTACCTATAAGTGTCAGCATCCGACTGCCTGAAGACACATGCTCAGTATGGGACTGCAACTTCATAACACCCTCTGGACGTAGCACATGCTATCCCAAAAAGGAATTGAGGCACTGTTGTTTTCCCTATAAAACTAAAGATAGTTCTTCCAGAATCATACACTGCAATAAGGTCTCCAGAATCCTGTTTTGAGGTCACTTGGTCAGTTCTCCTGTGGCTAAAACAAGACCCCGTTGTGTTGGGAGAACCAGCTGAGGAAGAGTACTGGCAGAACGTGGGACTGAAACCCTTGTACCTTCACCTGCATCTTGGTCAGCTGGTAAGGTGTGTTTCCCTGCTTCTCAGTAGCCATAAATCGGGTGTAAATGCAAGTCATAGCCGTGTTAGAGACCATCGCACAGCAGGAGTCACGGAAAAAGAGTGAACGATCAGTGACAAGGATGCTTCTCAAAGAGAAGGCATGAATGACCAGGTCACCTCCTTGACTTTAAGTGGCCTGCTGCCAATCATACAATACATCTCAGCCAAATTCCACTTGGTGCCTGTGGTGACCAATTTCATACACATTGGGTTTTATATCCTACACAACCAAAAATTTACTTCCATACTCACTTTGAGCCATGGCTGCTGTGTACAAGGCAATGCAGAATCAGATCCTTTCTTCCACTAGTCTTTCCTGGCAACCAGCCTGCAAGACTGTTAAAATAAATAAATAAATAAATAAATAAATAAATAAATAAATAAATAAATAAATAAATAAATAAATAAATAAATAAGTATTCCAGACCTGTTTGTCAAATTGTGTTATGATTTAAAAGGCACAGGGCTGATTTCCTATTCATTCCAGCTTGTCCTGATGTTACTGTAATGTCTCATGTACATTTTAATCCAATTTACAGTAGGGTAAACCTGAGAGGAACTGAACTCTTTCATTTTGCTCCCTGCTTAACTTTGAAGTCCTTAATGAAACAGTTTAACGTGCACATCTTAGCAAATGTCCTTGGCTTCCAAGAAAAGAACACTTACAAAATTAGCCAAGTAGCTCAAATGTAATGGGTAGATCACAAAAGTAAGCAGATGTTAAATAACTTAACATAAAATATTAAAAAACAGAAACAGATTTTTTGTTTTGTTTTATTTCATTTTACTTTGGCTTAATTCCTTTCTGGAACCATGGCTGCTGAAACAATAGTGGCCCCGTGTGAGTTGCTGGATTGCAGCTCCTGACTGCAGTGCCTCTTTCCTTGCTTTACCTGAGCACTGATGGCATGCAATGGGGAGCAGGGCTGGGGGCAAGCCTGAAGGTGGGGGGAAGCATTCAGGGAGAAGTGGATGATGGCTTTGCCCCTGCTGAAGATTTGGAGGTGAGAAATTCACAGCGTCCCAACCAGAGCTGTGATGGAAAGGGAGATACTGGGATTTTATGGACACCCTCTCCATACTACAGTCAACCAGTAGGAAGCAGCTGCTCGCTGTCCCCTGTAGCAGAGAATGAGCGATGAAGCCACATGTCATATCAGTGGTGCCCCGAACAACACAGCTTAAACTCACCCTCTCTGAAGCCACCACATCCACCCTCACTGACTGTTACAGTTCACTCACCTCATGGTGTTTAACTCTCTTTTCAGGACCATCACCTCCTGTTAACACTCCAGGTGATGCAAACCTTTAGTTTTCAGACTAATATAACACAAAATGTAGCTTTCTGGAGTGATCTTTCCCCAGTAACTATTCTTCTTCTGTCTTCCCATATGGGAGAGTTAGAATATAGAAAGATGACACAAAGACTATAGGCAATACAGATGGCATGTATAGAATATATATGTTTACTTATATACATCTATATAAACACATATATTTTTATATTTTGTGTGTGTGTGTATATAGATACACAACAAATACATTCTTTTTCTAGGAGATATAGAGCAGAAGGGAATTTATCAAGCCAGCTGGAAGAGAGAAGGCAGGAGGATGGTGATATACCACCCTGAACTGCCTCGGCTCTCCCGCCTGCTCTCGGTCCCCCCTGCCCGCTCCCGGTTTTTTGAGGATGCGACAAGTCGCAGTGCCAGAGCGCAGCATCCTCGGAGGGGCGTCCCCCCGCCCCGCCCCGTTCCCCCCCCGTCCCCGTCCAATCAGGGCGCTGGGGGAGGGATGCTCGGGGCAGGGATGCGGGGTTGCCAGGCGACAGCAGCGTCCCTGTGTCCCGTCCCCCCCCCCACCCCCTCCCTCCTCCCTCCGTGTCCTCCCCCCGCGGGACCGGGCTGCGCTCCTGCCCGCGCTGCCGGCGCGGTTAAACAGCCGCGGGGAGCTCCGCGCCGCGCAGCCCCGCAGCATGGGGACAGCGGCTCGCCGCCCTCCGAGGGCTCCCTGCCACAGCCCCGCTCCCGGCCGTGCCAGGAGCAATAGCCAGCTTCAAAGTTAGAACGGGAGAGGCAGTAAATGAATAAATGGTAGGACAGAGCCTCAGGCAGCCCCTCCGCGCAGCGCCGGCTGCAGAGCTACCGCCCGCCCCGCGTGCCGGCAGAGGCAGTCTGCAAAATGCCATCCGGTTCTCACTCCTTGTCTTTGCAACTCTAGGTCGCCTCCAAATTTAAAGCTTTGCACCAATCCCCTTTGCCCGGGAAGGAGAGGAAATCTAGAAAGATGCCAGGCTGCGAAAAGGGACCCCAATTACCAGCGCTGGTACCAGGCGCTGCCTGGCCGACGAGAGCCAAAGTTGCTCAAAGGAACGGGAAGCGAGTGCTCCAGAGGAGAGGGGAAGGGAAGGGAATCTTTGCCTGGTGATTGCACTCTCTCCTCCCGTTGTCCCCTTCTCCTCCTCCTCCCTCCCAGCCTTACCCCTGACCGTTTAGGAGGCCTTGATGAGTTTCCACCGGGATCCGATCCAAGGTGGGGGGGGAGAAAGCGTGACTGTTCCCAGAGGAAACAGCTCACACAAGTTTGGGGGGTGAGAATCCCCGGTGGATGTTTAACGAGCACATCGGGAGGCCCGCTATGCCCGGGAGCAGCTGGAGACCCTCGCTGGGACACACCTTCACTGCACGGTAAGGAGCTGGGCACTGGTGTCCCGCACCCTGGTCCCTGCATCCCACATCCCGGTCCCTGCATCCTGCGTGGCAGATCCGTGCATCCTAGTCCTCACATCCCTGTATCCTGCATCCCAGTCCTCTCATCCCACACCCTGCAGCCTTGATCCCTGCATCCCGGGTCCCTGCAACCCGACCGGCGCTCCCCCATCCTGCTTTTCCAAGGAGATGTAGCTGCTGCCGGGGGGATTGTGGGTTGTGTAGCCGAGGAAAAAGTTTAGAGAGATGGTTTGAAAAGGGGTTTGCTGACGAGAGTCAGGGGCCAGGAGAAGTGGGGTTGCAGGGCGGGGTGGGGGGGGGGGGTTGGGGGACACAAGGGTTTTCACACCTGCAGAGAGCAGGTAGGGTGCAGGGGGACCTCTGTAGTGTGCAGTTGGGGGTGGAGGGGGGCGGGCAGAAGGGGGCTGGCTCACTCAGGGCAAAACAGCTGTGTCCAGATGTTGCCCAGAGGTTCCTGCTCCCGCAGAGGCAGGCTTTGGGGGTGAAGGGAGGAAATCTTAAACTCACCGTTCTACACCCTTCATTAAGCTGGGATGGAAAGTGCCAAGCCAGCAGCTGGGAGAGCCGTGCTGGGTACCCAGCACATCTCCCTGGATCTGCTGCTGGGAGAGAGGGGGAGAGGTGGGGAACATTAAAGGAACTGGAAATGCTTTTCTCCTCCTGAGGTATCTCCTCTGCAGGGACCTGGCTCACTCCAGGATCCTAAAATTGGAAGGCTTCAAAAAGAAAGGAGAAATTAGCAGGGACAATAGAGACAATGTAAACTCTCCCTCATATATGCCTGTATATCTATCTGTCCATGTGAGTATGCATCCAGCTGTATAGGTATATGTTTGTGCTTCTAGAGTTGCTTGTGCCTATGTATGTGCTGTGCCTGTGTTGCTATGTCTCTGGGTGTGTATGTGTGTAAATCTATGCTTGTGTTTGCTTGGATGCATATAGATGTATTGTATGTACAGATTCATAGGAATGTGTTTTTATTCCTAGACAGTGTAGACCTATAGGTGTGTGGGTACATATCTTTCATCTGTGTGTGTGTCAGGCACACATTTCTGATGAGATACACATGTGGGTGTGAGACAGTGTATCTCTATGCCTGTGTGTAGGTAGAATTTGGGGTGTATGTTGGATTTTGGGAGTTTTTTCCCCCCAGGTTATTGTAGTGTTTCCATGGATCATTTTATGGATACATCCCTGCATTTCAGCAATCTTGATAAAACCCAAAGAAATCCTGAAAAACTAATCTTACCGATGCTAAGGATTTGATGGTAGTTTATGAGTTCTTTGGCTTTTTCTCAGTTTATGCCACCTGCTGAAGATGATTTTAGCTCCTTTTTAAAATAATTTGTTCAGCTTTAAAAAATATCAGTCAGAAGACTGTGAAACAGAACAGCCTGGGACACAGACTGGTACTTATTTCAGCTTGCATAAGTATATGTCTCACATCGATTACATATGCATGAAAACAATTTGAAAAGCACACAACCCACCTGATCAAACACATATTTTAGGAAAACTACTTTTTTTTCATTTTCTTCAAATACACCTAAATAATTATGACTTCTTCTGCTGTTGTTTATGTTGATAAATGCAAACGTTACAAGAAAATGTAACTTCCCCAGTTATAGTTGGGATAATTGTACATTAAGCTAATTTTATTTGCAGTTAGGGTAATAGAAAAATTCTATTTTTGTAATGATCATTCTTTGAGTGACAGTCGCAGTAACAATCCATGAAAATCAGTCTTAATAAATTGATTACTTGAGGAACAATGCAAGCTAATTTGTCCTCTGCTAGATTATTTCATACTTTGATTTCTGTGGCTTTTTGCTGATTTCTTTCTTGTTTGTTTGTTTGGGTTTTTTGTTTTTTTCTTTTTTAAGAATTATGACATCCACTGCTACTTTCGGTATTTCTGGAGTCCTGCATTATATATAAAAACATAAAACACACTTCAAAACAGAAAGTACACCAATTGCTTTATTGTTCTGTAACTTAAAAACAAGCAAAATGGCATTGGTATCAAGTATATTAAAACAAGACTTTCACCCCGGAGCCAAGATGCTTTTCTAATTGCTCTTGATGTTTGTCTAGGTTACTTGTGCTGATGACCTACTTATAAGCTTTTACAAATAAAGTTTTTTAGGCAAAAGCTGATACCTTGTCTAGCAGTAAGAATCTAATTTTATCTTTGAAAGAGTAAATCTAAAGCAAGATGAAGGAGTAAAGTATCTGTCTAGATTCGCTTAATGTTTTTATACTTAATTAAACTGTGATGAAGCAAAGTACTGAATCAGACTGGAAAGCCAAAAGAAAAGAAATACATTATAAATATTGGTATCATTCAGTGCTGTGGTCTACATTATGTAAGTGAAGCTGAATTTGGAAATGAAGAAAGTTTAAGGGCATGTACTGGAATTTAAAGAAAGAGCTATTTAGATGTTTTTTGCAAAAACAACTCTTCTGTGGAAGTGTCCTACAGAACGTAAACTATTTTGAAGCTCACAGAGTCCTATATAGAATACAGTAAGACCTAAATGCTCTGGTTCTAATGGTGCTTATGCTGGGGTCAAATTGCAATTTTACCTTTAAACCTGGTGAACTAAATTCTCTATTGGGCTACAAGAATTCAGTAGGGTCACATGAAGTGTGTGTGCACCAAAAGTCTGGTTTAGCAGTGTGATTTGAGAATCCAACCTAAAGCTTTTATAGGGTGCAAGATCCTGTCTATGAGGCTGTTGAGCTTGCCAACAGTATCCTGCAGAAGGGATTTCACTCTCTGATCAGTTTTTGAAAGCTGCTTCCAAAGCCCTAATAAATGTTTATCAGGATTTCTACACCTTGTTTCTTCCAACACTTTGTGCTATAGTTATTGAGCACCTAGTATGAATTTTTCTGGTTGATAAAATACTAGGCATACTATCACTCTCAGGATGCCAGAGAACACCACAGAGATGTCTGGCACACTCCAGAATCAGACAGCATTATAGTTTGTGTGTGAATCTGTGTAACTACAGCAAGCTACAGAAGCTCTTGTGAAGAAGGTCATGTAATATTGACTGGCTTTTTACCTGCTTGTTGATATAAAACTGAAAGCTGGTTTAAATCTTAATCAAGACCTTATCCCAGGTCAGAGAGTTAAAGAGAAGACTGTCTTCTTGCTCTCTACTAGAGAATAAAGTTGTGCTTTAATTCCTATTTGGGTTGCATTCACAATGGAGGGGTATCTGCAGGCAACATGGGCTGACCAGAAGGATGATCAGCGACCCTGCCCCAGCACCCAGCACTGAATGTCCAAAGCATGGCAGTGATGGATCTGGGCTCCAAAGATGGCAGGGAAAGAGCATAGTCTTCAACTGGCAACATCTTCTTAAATCTCTGCACATGACTGTTCCTGTCAATGAACTTAATAGGGCCAACTTTCTCTGTGATAAAATAGCCCTAAACTGGCAGAAAAATCTGGGACACATTTCCTCTCATGAAAATACAGATTGGCTTGAAAATCATGAGTTTATTTTAGTAGTAGGAGTAAAATGACAAAAAAAAAATAGGAATTCCTCCTGGGCACAGTGATGTCTGGGAATAGCCTCAGTGTGATTGTGAGATATTTCCTCTGAGACAAAACCACAGTTCATTGTTAGAAGTGTTTTAACTATTACGGATTAGTGCAATTGGTTCTTTTTTTTCAGGTAAGCCCAGAATCCAGTGTGTGACCCAAATGAATTTGCTGGACTATCTATTGTTTCATGAGGCTTTTGGATATTTTACTTTAAAGGTGTTCATATTTTTAAAAATACTGTAAGGAGTAGACTGTCTTGTTTCTAGCTGCCTTTCCAAAGCAATGCGGAAAATTTTCATAGGGGTTAAATCACTATGAACCTATTAAAGTCAAAAGGAAGAGAGTTTACTAGACCTATAAAAAATTACACACACACACACAAAAAAAAAAAAAAAAAAGACTGTAGAATGATAGTGCTTTTATCTGATATTGGACCTCTCAAATATAAAATGATGCAGATGGAACTATTATGTCAGCTATACTGACATTATTGAATCATTTACGTAGTTAGCAATTGTACTGCATGTAAATCAATAGGTTGTCTCAAAAACCTAAGTAGCAGTGTAGCAGCTTTTCCAAACCTTCTAAGACCCAACTTATCTGCATGCAAAGGCATGGTCTTAACCTCAGTTGCTGAGGCAGTCTTCCTTTCAGAGCACTTTAAAGTTTAGCAAGTGGCTTGACCTTAATAGTACTGATGGCCTTGACCTTGAAAGTCCCTTTCCTTGTACATCCAAAGGGATACAGGGTGATGACCAAGTATACAAAGTATGTCAAGTATGTACAGAGGAAATCGTTGATGAACATTTTATGGATGAAATGGGAAGTGGAGAAGTCTTCTGGTGGATGCTGTGAGACCTTGAAATTCTCCATTAGAAAAATGACTAGAGAAGGGAAAAAGTTGTGAAGACAAAAAAAGGTTGTGGAAAATAGATCTATAGGAGACAAAATGGGAAAAATAAAGAGAAGAAAATAGCTTGAGAGGAAATTAAAGAAAGAGAAGTAAACACACTCAGATGATTATTCAAGCTGGAAGAAAATTAATGGAATGATAAGTCAGTTGTGGAATTAAGAGGTTGTAAAACAGGGGAAGGTGATGAAGAAGACACTTTCATTAAAGAGATTAGAAATTATCCTGTGATCTAACTATCAGGGGAAAAATACTGCTCATGTTATGGAAGTGGTAACTGCAAAATTTAACCAGGCAGAAGATTGCATTCAGGCATATTGACTAAGGAAGGGAACGGCAGCTGAGATATAGGAAACGGTGAGCTAGTAGAGAAAATGTCATAGAGCTGATTTTATCCATTTAAAGGAATATGAAAGATAAAGAATCTATGTGGACAGGTGGAATGTAACAGAATTTTAAAGTCCATGGTGACCAAGAAGTCTTATCAAG